TTCGTAAATGTTTTGCTTATCCGCAGTACTGGAAAAGGAGTATTGTTTGGTAAACACTTCCTGCTGATGGGATAGCAGCATGACTTCGTTGATCCCACTAGTTTTGAGAGCTTTGGCGAACCGTAGCAGGAGTGACGTCCGTTCCTTTTTTTTTATTGTGGTACAAAGTGAAATGCGCCGTCAATGTTTCGCAGGCTTTCTCAAACCCATTTGTACAGGTCAGCAGGTGTTAATGTTTCGTTGATGTGAGGCCTTTGAAGGCTGGCTTGAGCCGTTGGTCTTTTTGGAGTTCCTCCGATACTATCGCATACGCTCTTCTCATATGCGGCGACAAAGAAGTGCCATTTTGCAGCAATGCCAAAATCGGCTTCATGGAACAGTAAGTTGTAAAAGTTCTTCTTGTTCTTGTACTGCGCGACAGCCCCGTCGGAGAAGCAAGTCTTCTTTGCATTGGATTTTCCCTTTAAAAACTGGACTAAGTGCCTCAAAAACATGAACAGCGACAGAATCGTACTTCAAACAGACAGAAACGATAGTTAAGCTGAAGAATTAAGCGGAATCTGACGAGACACCTTTCGGGTAGATTGCAAACGGATGAATTGCTGCATGAGTATTTGTCCAATGATATGCTTGCATCTTGGATAAGCATTGCTTAATTCTCCTAGAAGTCGCAAATCACAAGAGCCTCGCTATTTTGCAGCTTTGTTTTCCTCTCTCTTAAAAATTTGCTTTGCTGAGACGCTATAAAGGAGTGTCGCAGAAGGGCCGGGATTCTGTCGACAAATTCGGCAATAAATTCATCGGCAGAAGCTGTTACAGTCTTTGAATTGCACCGGTTATTTGTTACCCAGTGTTTTTACTCGAAGCGATCAATGGCGTTTTGCTCAAAACTATGTCCTAGCATCTCAGCAATTTCCGCCAATTTCTGACAGTTTAGGTCACAAGTCACATAATCTCAAGTGACAGTCCTCTCCAGCTGGCTGACAAGTTACGACGTCGAGAACGTCTTTGTAGTACTGAATGAAAACAGTGAGATTCCTTATTAGCTGATTCAGGTGTATTGCCTCAACCATTATTTTAAAATTTCGATGAACAGAGCATACGCAGACCAAATGAGTTTTAGCAGCACCAGCAAGAACACAGTGCTTTGGCCTGAGAGATGCAAACGTTGAGAAGCCAATCTGCAGCTGCGGTTGAGCTTCTTTGAAAGTGCAAGAAGCTTTTTTCAAATTACAAAGAACAAAGCACTTTTGAATTTTCTTTTTCGCTCCACTTTCTCTGATAATAACATAATCTTTTTTACCTGCCATCACTCTGCTAATACCATCGGAGCAGTAGAAACTGCGAACTTTTTCCGCAACCTCATCACTCAAGGCTCTTCCAGGTTACGGATTCGGAGAAGACACACTCCTTTTTTTCAACCAGTTGTTGAACCTTCCTCGCCATGTGAAGATTGGCCAAAACTCATTTTGAACTTTGCGTAAGGACCACTTTTTGGGAAGTAGAGTGAGAATGGTTACCTGCTCACTTCTGCTGGTAGTTGCAGAGAACTTCTCTTTTAACTGGTGAAGCCATTCCTCCTCTTCGTCCTGTACCTTTTCTTCCTTCAATTGAAAAACGTCTGACTTCAGCATCTTCCCTATTCTTGCGAACTTCTTCCTACAGTAGGTTCTGCTACGGAGGCAGCTTTTTTTAATGGGAGTTTCACCTATGGACGAGAGCCCTTCGTTTATGGCAACCACCGAAGTACTTGAACTACACTGTAAACCAGATGATACGAGAACATCACAAATACCAATTCAGTTAAAATATTTTAAAGAAGACCTGTTTAAATACCGGCTGTACTGAAAGCACACAGCTATTGAAGTCAGCTTCTTCTGCGCGTCTTTCTCCTGCCAAAATTCTGCAGTTATGGAGGTTTTTTGGTGGTGAAAGTTATGTGTCAGAAAGAAATGTGAAACTGAAAAAAACCCACTATTTTTCACCAATCCCAAGCACTGAACGTGGCAGATCCGTCCTAAGCCGCTTTTGGAAACCGCAGACACCTGCTATAAAAATCCGGCATGCTTTAAAAAATGAAAATTTGTTACAAATGTTGTATTTTACCTCAAGGTGTTAACGATTTATTATTTTGCGGGTGAGAACTGGCTCTCATTCCAGTGCCTTCTGCTTCTTGTAATTTCATTCTGTTAAAATTATGCACTAGTATAAATTTTGAAGTCACGCAGAGGTCCAAAAACCTATAACTTCACCTGCTCAACTGCTGGGTTAAGGCTCACCTGAAACTTTCTATTTTTCTGGAAAACCGCAACACAGAATTTCGAAGAAAGAACAAGTTGAGCTTGTGCAACCAAAACTTTAACAAGTACGTTATCGACATAATTCTAAGAGTCTAGGAACTAAGAAGTACTAGAAGCAGAAAACACCAAAATGAAATCCATCTCTCACAAACTCTGCAGGATAATATTTTGTTAATATTCTGAAGCTAAACGTAACTTTTGTAACAAGTTTTTAACTTTTGAAGCATACCGAATTGTTATAGAAGGTGTCTGCGGTTCCCAAAAGCGGCCCAGGACCATTTCATCATGTAAAATACATGGGGTTACTGTGCCTTTAACAGTTTTTTTTTAAAAAAAACAGCGGGTTTCTTCCAGTTTCAGATCCCCTTCTAACTCATAACTCTCAATACCAAAAAAATCGCCATCATCAAAATCCGATATGTTATGGAACAAAAAACTCTACACTAGATATCTTTTTAAAAAAATTTAAAGACACGTTTTTTTCTACGCTTTTTTGTAATATTACTTTTACTATAACTATGTAATTTTTTATCAGAATTAAAAAATTTAGTCTGCAATTAAAAAATCAAGACAAGAGAAATCTAGTAAGTGAAAAACTGTTAAATTCTATTAAAGACTGGCTAAATTACTGTCGCGACTACCGACTGTCCTTTTAATTGGGGAGTTGATTACAACTCCTCTGTAGCGTCACACCGGGATCCTTGTTTCTATACTTTTAAACCGCAAGCAACCGTAGTCGCCGATGCTTGCAGCAGTATATTTTGGGGACTGTAACTCTTTGAATAACGCGGAGTGGTAACGTTGTTGGACACTTATTATTTTGGATAGTTCTTTATTTATTGAAACCTTCAATTACTACAAACAAACGAATAACGAAGGTTTAATAACACAAAGTATAAGGAAAGATCACTGAGCACCGCTCACTAACCTAGCCCTAATAATGTATCGAACATTAACGTGTCAATAGAAAAGTAACACT